TAAAAAAAAAAAAAAATCTCAAAAAAAAAAAATTCCCCCAAAATCCCCCCCCAAAAATTTCCCAAAAAATTTCCCAAAAAATATTCCCAAAAAAAACTCGCAAAAAAAAAAAAATTCGCAAAAAAATTCCCCCCCAAAAAAATTCCCCCCCAAAAAAAAATTTCCCCACCCCCAAAATTCCCAAATCCCTCCTTTTTTTTTTTTTTTTCCCCCGGGAAAACGGGATCTCCTTCCCGAGGAAATGAAAATCCCAGGAAAATCGGGACTGGGAATCTTTCCCTTCCCGAGGTTTTTCCCGCACCTGATCCAGAGCAGGAATTCCAGGAGATAAAATCCCACGGCGTAATCCCAGAACCAGCTGGACGAGGAGCGCGGAGCCTGCGGAATTCCGGGAAAAAAAACAAACCCGGGAATGTTGGAGGGGGGAGGGGCTGGAGAAGAGAATCCCGACATTCCCAACATCCCAAAATCCCAGGGAAAGGCAAGGCCGGATCCGGGAAAATCCTGGAATTGCTGGGATGGTCCAAAGAGTTGGGAAAATTCCCGGGGTTTCCTTTGAATTCCCACCTCAAATTCGTTCCTGGAATCGCCAAGATCTTGGAAAATCCCAGGATTCCCAAAGCCTGGAATGCTGGGAGATTCCCATTCCCAAAATCCCGCCCCAAATCCACCCCTGGAATTGCTGGGGAGATTCCAAGAACTTGGAAATTCCCGGGATTCCCAAAGCCTGGAATGCTGGGAGATTCCCATTCCCAGAATTCCCAAAATCCCGCCCCAAATCCACCCCTGGAATTCTTGGAATGATCCCAAGATCCTGGAAATTCCCGGGATTCCCAGAGCCTGGAATGCTGGGAGATTCCCATTCCCAGAATTCCTAAAATCCCGCCCCAAATCCATCCCTGGAATTCTTGGAATGATCCCAAGATCCTGGAAATTCCCGGGATTCTCCCCAAATTCCCGCTTCCCACCCCAAATTAATTCCTGGAATTCCCAGGACGACTCCGAGAACTTGGAAATTCCCGGGAATCCCAGAGCCTGGAATGCTGGGAGATCCCCGTTCCCAAAATTCCCCAAATCCATCCCTGGAATTCCCGGGACGATCCCAGGAAGTTGGAAATTCCCGGGATTCCCGGATCCTGGAGGGCAGCGTGAGCCCATCCCCATTCCCCAATCCCTTCCCCACGGGATCCCTGGGATCAGGGTGGATCCCTGGGATCGGGGTGGATCCCCAGGATTGGGGCGGATCCCTGGGATCGTGGTGGATCCCCAGGATGGGGGTGGATTCCTGGGATCGGGGCGGATCCCTGGGATCGGGGCGGATCCCTGGTATCGGGGTGGATCCCTAGGATCGGGGTGGATCCCCGGGATGGGGGTGGATTCCTGGGCTGGACGGATTGGGGGTGGAACCCTGGGATGGATGGATGGATCGGGGATGGATCCCCGGGATCGGGGTGGATTCCTGGGATGGGGGAGGATTCCTGGGATCGTGGAGGATCCCTGGGGTGGATCCAGTGGATCCCCAGGACGGATGGGGGTGGATCCCCGGGATGGATGGGTGGGAAGGGATCTCTGGGCTGGATCGAGTGGATCAGGATCCCCGGGATGGATGGATGGGGGGTGGATGATTCCCGGGATGGATCAGGATCGGGATCGGGATGGATGGGATCCCTGGGATGGATGGATGGGGGTTGGAGGATTCCCAGGATGGATCGGGATGGGGATCGGGACGGATGGGATCTCCGGGATGGATGGATGGGGGTTGGAGGATCCCTGGGATGGATCAGGATCGAGTGGATCAGGATCCCTGGGATGGATGGATGGATGGGGGTTGGAGGATTCCCGGGGTGGATCAGGATCGAGTGGATCAGGATCCCCGGGATGGATGGATGGATGGGGGGTGGATGATTCCCGGGATGGATCGGGATGGGGATCGGGATGGATGGGATCCCCGGGATGGATGGATGGATGGATGGATGGGGGTTGGATGATTCCCGGCATGGATCAGGATCGTGTGGATCAGGATCCCTGGGATGGATGGATGGATGGGGGTTGGATGATTCCCGGGATGGATTGGGATCAGGATCGGGATCGGGATGGATGGGATCCCCGGGATGGATGGATGGATGGGGGTTGGAGGATTCCCGGGATGGATCAGGATCCTCAGGATCGAATCCCCAGGATGGATGGGGATCCCTGGGATGGATCAGGATCGAGTGGATCAGGATCCCCGGGACGGATGGATGGAGCGGATCCCTGCCTGCTGGGTGGGATCCTGGTAGACGATCCGGACGTTGTCGCTGTGCGGGAACCACAGGAAGCGAAAATACTGCGAGCGGCTCAGGTGCTGCTCCAGCCCTTCCAGGACCTGCCGGGAAGGAATAAACACCGGGAATAAACACCGGGAATGAAAACCGGGAATAAAACCTGGGAAATCTGGGAAAATAAACTGCTGGGAATATTGGGAATACTGGGAAATTTGGAATACTGGGAAATCAGGGAGAACAAACCGGGAATACTGGGAATACTGGGAAATCTGGGAATACCGGGAAAAGGGGGGAAAGTGGGGAAAACCAGGGAAATAAAAACTGGGAAAAGCGGGGAAATTGGGAAAAGCAGGAAAACCGGGAATGCTGGGAAAAGCAGGAAAATTGGGAA